CCCCACCCTCGCGAGCGCGAATATTCCCCCCCCCCCCCCTGCCTGAGAGAGGAGATCTTGGCGAAGAGGAAGTTGCCAGGGCTGAGCWGCCAGCAGGCTGATTATCTCGGCATACCAAGATTTCACTGGCCAATGGGGTGCCACCAGAATCAGAGACAGACCCTGTCTGCGTACCCTCTCTAGTACAGGCAGTACCATCTCCACTGGGGGGAAATGCATACAGCAGTACATTGGGCCACGGGTGGGCTAGAGCGTCCACCCCCAGTGGGGCGTTCTGATCCATTATGGAAAGGAACAGAGGGCAGTGGGTGTTGGCCCCTGTGGCAAAGAGATGYACTGCTGCCCTAACAAACATGGTCCAAATCTGGTCCACCACTGAGGGATGCAGCCTCCACTCCCTCACCATAGGTCCGCCCCTGGAGAGTAGATCTGGGCCCAGATTCAGTCTCCCAGGAACGTGAGTGGCCCTGATAGACAGGAAATGCATGCTGCACCACTGCAAGAGAGTGTGAGACAGTTCCAACAGGGGAAGAGACCGTGTTCCCACCTGTCTGTTTATATGTGACACTACAGTGGTGTTGTCTGTTCTGATCAGAACATGTTGGTTCTGCAGAACTGGACAAAATTGTTTCAGTGCTAACAGAACCGCTAACAATTCCAGGCAGTTTATGTGGAGTCTGGACTGCTTCAGAGTCCAAACCCCCCTCACTGCCGCACCATCGCACAGAGCCCCCCACCCCACCAGGGAGGCGTCTGTGGATACCACTTTGCGAAAGGACACTCTCCCTATCTATGAGCAGGCCGGGTTCCCTCCAAGGACTGAGAGACTTCATGCATGAGGCAGTTATCATTAGCTTTCTGTGGCGGTGACGTAATGCACACAGCCAGTGAGAGTGGGAACAACGCTGAAACTGGCGCATTTTTAGCAGCCCGAGTGGTACTACTGCGATCATAGAAGCTATCATGCCTAACAGTAGCAGACTGGTCTGAAAACGAAGTTTGCGTCCCAGTTAAAACTGAACGAGGCAGCAGTGAAACGCAGCTACTCTGTTTTCTGAGAGATGCACTCTGCCCAACAGGGAGCATATTTCTAACCCGAGGAAAGAAAACTGCTGACTCTGAGTCAATAAGCTTTTCTGAAAATTTACAGAAAAACCCAGAGCCTGAATGTGCGACAGAACCTGAGACAGATGCTCCGTAGCCTGCTCCTTGGAGCTGGCTATCAGAGCCCAGTCGTCTAGGTACGCTAACAGGCGAACTCCTTTCTCCCTGAGAGGAGATAGCGCCGCTTCGACACATTTTGAAAAGGTACGGGGTGCCAGCGACAGACCGAATGGCAGCACCAGGTATTCGTAGGCTACGCCTTCGAACGCAAACCTCAGAAATTCCCTGTGGTCCGGGTGAATCGCTACATGGAAGTAAGCGTCTGTTAAATTGACGGTCGCAAACCAGTCGCCCAGGCTGACCGAATGCAGAAGCTGAGTGTTAGCATTTTGAACCTGTATGTTCGTAGAAACTTGTTTAACACCCTCAGGTCTAAAATCGGACGGAGGCYGCCGTCTTTTTTCGGAACGACAAAATAACGGCTGTACCAACCTTTCTTTACTGTATGTCCGAAGAGGGGACCACACGTATGGCTCCTTTCGCCAGTAGCGTTTATTTCCTCTCTCAAAACCACGGCTGCTTTGTTTCCAACAACAGTGTTTAGCATGGTGTTGAAACTGGGCGGCCGTATGCAGAACTGTAGTCGGTTACCCATTGCGACAGTTCTCTCTACCCAAGGGGATGGTGCGCATGTGCGCCAGACAGAGAGTCGCGTCGCTAGGCGACCGACTTGTGTTAGCGAAGTCCTGCTGCCCTCTGTTGCATGAGAGAGACGCAGCATTATATGGCTGTCACTCACAACTTTTCTGATTTTTTGTGTGTGAAGTGTTTCCTTTATTGACACATTCAACAAGTTTACACAACCATTTTGTACATTTATATTCTGAACATTTAGCGCACCCAAACTGGGGGCTTTTGGTACAAACAGTGTGTGTGTGGGGTGGGACTGGTGCTTGGGAGACTGTGTTATAGAAACGCAGCACCTCTTGGGGCTGGTTTCCTGAACAGTACAAACAAATTGCCTCTTGGGCAGCAGCCGAAAACTGGCGAACATGTCTCCCTGGTCCCGAAGTCCCTGCAGTGACAGTCCCACAGTTAGGAGGACTGCGTCTTCTTCCTCCGAGGTGTCACATCTTTCTGAAGACCCGGAGGGGGGCCCTTGCTCCAAGCCGACTGGCGGGGTGGGTGGCCATGGTTATGAGGCTGCGGTGACTGGGTGCCTAGGCTCCCAGGCTGCACCGTTCTCTTCGCCGGAGGCGGCTGTGCGGCCGGCTTCTGTGTGCTTGTCTTGGGTCTCGAGTCTCATCTGGGGATATTGCAGCGCAGAGCTTCTGCCTGCTTCTTCCTCAGCTCGAACTTTGCCTGAATAACGTCGAGAGACTGTGGCCCGGTCTCTGTCGGGGACATCAGAGAGTGTCAACCGCAAATGTCTCTGCGCCACCACGGTTGAAGCCATCCCTCTGACCAGGGAGAGCGCTACGCCGCGGGACGCATGGAGGATGTAGTCCGCGGTGAGTCTGATTTCATTTAAGAGAGGCAGCAGAGGACTCTCGGCCTGTACCTGGGCTCCGAGCTCCGCCAGAGCCATAGCCTGGTAAGTCTGGAGCATGCTGATGGAGCTCAGGCCGCGAGCAGTGGTGGCCTGAGCCTTGCAGATTTTTTCAAGCTGTGCAGCAGAAAATCTACAGGGCTTGGAAGGGAGCGTGGTGGGTCCGCTCACACCATGGTTTTGAGACGGGGCCAAATACGCTGCCAGGGACGGCTCCATGGGAGATATGTTCACCAGTCCAGCTTTTTCAGCTCCTTCCAAATCCGAATATGGTCCATAACCGGGCACTGTGACGCGGGTGGACAGAGGTTTGGTCCAGCAGGACGTCAGCTCCGAGACGAAGTCTGGGAAAATGGGAAGACGGTTTTTCACCACGGTTGGGTCAGTGGGGAGAAAAAAATCCAGCGAACCGAGACGTTTTTTGTGCAGGAGGGGGAGCAGGCCATTCCACCTCCAGTTTCTGAGCCGTGCGACGACACAAAGAGAGAAAAGACGTGTCCTCCTGGTTTGCCCCCGCTGCTGTGGGGGCTTCTGGACTTGGACCGGGTTCATCATCGTTTTCCGACAGACCATGCACATCCAGGCCGATATCCAGCATGTCCTCCCCTCCATGGTGGAGGTCCAGATGAAACTGGGAGGCCTCCTCCTCTTCGTCGGCTAACCCCTCCATATATTCCAGTTGGTCTGCCCAGCTGGAAGTGGGGACTTTGACCAAGGGCTCCTCCTCGTCAGACTCGGACAGAACCGGGTTACTAGACTCGGAGAGGAGAGGGTCCTGCCACGCGACTGCAGCCTCGCCCAGCACTTTCTCCAAGAACTTAATCCGTCTTTCCAGGGTTGAGCGTCGAAGCTGGCGGCAAAATGCACATGCTTCGGGCTCCGCCAACGCCCTACGAGCGTGGACGATCCCCAAACAGACCGGGCAAGCCTCGTGCTGGTCCTTTTCGTGAAGCGAGAAGCTGCATCCCTGGTGACAGGGGTGAACTGAAGACTTCTGCTTCTTCTTGATTAATTTTGTGCTCATCCCGAACCACAAAATTCTCTCTTTCGTCTAGGTAAGAAAGGTTTCTCAAAGTTAGCGCTCTGCGGGCAGACACAGTTACCAGTAGGCAGCTGCAGCTGACACAGACAAAAGCCGTTAAACTAAATCCGAGAACCTTCGAACAAACAAAGCTAATTAGCAGCAGCTAACTAGTTAGGTTGGAAGAGGTGGGTGTTCTTGCGAGGTGAAGAGCAATAGAACTAAGGAGTGACTGTGATGGCGACAGTATATAAATGTGCAGGCGGAGCCTGACATCTGTCGTCATCACGTCAACTGCCTAAAGGCATGATTAGAGGTGGCTTCAGCCAGGACACGCAGGGGCGTGGTTTCCCATACATGATGTGTTGTATCGAGTGAATTGACTGAAAGGGAACTGTGATTTTCATGAAACTGCAAGCTGCTTATTGAAAAAAGTAGGAATGTCAGCTTTTGATTTGAAGTGACTGAAATTTGATAAAACTAGATACTTTAAAACTCCTCATACATGAAGGTTGTCAAAATGCAGTCCAGCTCTTTGCTTGTCTATATTACCAAAGTCCTTATTTGACACAAAATAGAGGACACAGTATCATTAGTGTAACAAAATCGCATTTATATGTTTCTTAGAACTGCAGTGGAGGTATAAATAATAAAAAAAAACACCACATGCGATGCCCTTTGATTTATTAAATTAGACGATTAATGTTAAACAAAAGTAGCTTAGGAGAGCTACACTTCAAAACTCAAACTCACCTCACAAACTCTGAAATAAAAGCAAACAGAACTTCTGGATTTCTGGTCTACAAACCGAAGGATTTATTTATTTTTGTTCCAGGACAGAGAAGGGAGGACGGGGAAAGCTGAACCGATGATTGGAGCTGAGACTAGACGAGAGGTGGAGCTAGGGGGGCTTGGTTCAGCCTTTCGGCGCAGTGTACTGCCGCAGAAGCGAGGATATGGCGCTGGACTCGGTGACCTCCTCGGGAAGAGAGCCCTCCATATCTTTGATAAACGGGTCCGCTCCGGAATCGAGGAGAAGCTCTACGATGTCTGCAAACTCACACGCTGATGCTAAGAAGCAAGAAAGAAGAAATGTAACACTGATGATCTTTTTTTAGCCATAACTGATGATCTTTTTCGATCCTTTGAAAACAGAAAATTATTATATTCTTCATTCTATACTCCAAAAATGAGCAAACGGTGCATTGTTTTATTTTTCTCAAACCAGAAGGTAGAACTAGTTAAATAACTTTATAATAACAGGCTGTTAATAAATAAATTAATGCGAGCAAATTACGTTTGCGTTTCTTTAACTAACTGCAAACTTTATATTTTATTAATATAGCTAGTCAAGCTAATGTATTAAAAAAACTATTTATATAGCTCCATCTTACATGGTCTGATAATGGGATGAAGTAACAGGTTTTACTTTATAACAAGCTAATTTGATAACAAACACTAGCTAACTAGTTTTAAATTTCTTTAACAGGTGTCAGCTGATAAGTTTGTGAATCACTGATAATTCAAACTAGGGCCACAGAATGTATCACAAATACATCATCATCGCAATATCAGTGTGCGCAATATTCATATCGTATATGACTGCTTGGAGTGAAAAAATTGTTGACGAATGTATTTCAAGAGTTTTGAAGTTGTATTTTTCATAATGCAATATTTAGCCTGTCGGACAGAGTCTCACAGCAGCAGAAGCTCACACCAGACACAAATGACATAGCCCAAAATGCTAATGGTCACATAGAGTAAGAATTACAGATTAAAAAGAGAGGAAAGAAAAAATTGCACACTGCACCTGATATTGTCATCGCACATTTTTAAATATATTATCACCATTGCAAGATTTTCTAATATCATGCAGCCCTAATTCAAACTGTTTCCTGAAGCTTCTGATGCTTTAGCACATGAAGCCGAGGGTGAGGGACATGAAGCTGCAGCAGACTTCACATGACAGCGTTGAGTTGCAAAAACAACAATGCTACACTTTCTGTTTGACAAAAATAAACAGACGGACTGTTGTTCTGTTTTGGGAGCATAAAATGAAAGTAGAATAACCGTCCATTTTCTCATTTTTCAATATTTGTTTTAAAAAGAAAAAATGATTGACTAAAACCTGCACAGACCAATGAAACCTTTTCTGATAAGCTATGATGATAAGTGAAAAAACAAAAAGTGTAGAAAAAAGCACTTCAGTTCATTTCAGACTTTAATGACACTGTGTACCTGGTCTGAGTAAATTTGCGATACATCTTTCGTTTACAGTTTAATTCAGTGTGTACAGTTGTCCAGTTAATGAAAAGCCCATATGCAGGCCTGGCGCTGACATCGGTCTGGACCTGAGCTTCCCTCAAACACCTCATTTCTGCCCCACTGGCAATTTGTGCCCTGCTAAAAGGGTCTCCTCTCTCTCTGAGCCTTTTGGCGCAGAGGAGGAGGGTAGCTTGCACTCTCTTAACCCAGTTAGTGGGTCCCTTCATCCCTGATGTACCTC